TTTACAATCTCTTTCAGTGTCTTTTTATATATTTTTTAATATTTATGAGGCATACTCAAGGCTACACATTTAATATTTCTATTCCTTTGCTGCATAATTCAAAACCATCCAGTGTTACACATTAATGTATTACATGCCCAATACTTTTAATTTCACCTTGTTTCTATTTCTTTCCAAACAGCTGTTAGTTACTATTTTGCTAATGTCTATTTAGATTTGCCTATGTGATTACCAATTTCTTTATTCATCTACCTTCTTGAGATTAATGATATCTGGCTATGAGTTCTCAGGGAAACTTACCCTTCATTTGATATGTGACTCACGGGCAAATAAATATGCATATTTTCTATATGAGGGATGTCAGATTTTTCTTTAATATAAAAATCATTATTTTATAATTCAGTGTGCCTGTCTCCTTATTGCCTCCTTTGTATATTAAATTTGTCAAGTTCTGAGAGCATCCTGACATACTCTCTCACGGGGTTTTGATTTGAATATTAAACAAAATTATGTATACATGAGACATTTAGTTCAGGGCTTTACTGTTAGGGCAGCATGTGCTCAGCATTCTTTTTCCTTCTCTTTTCCTTCCCTTCCTTGTGGTGAGTCATTAATAATGTTTCATTCTATAGAGCCATGGCATTGTACGTGGAGTGTCTCATAGTGCTAGAAGTTAGGAGTCCAAAATCTAGGTATCAGCAGGGCTATTCCCCTTCTAAAGGCTCTGGGAAAACATCTCTTCTGCCCTCTTCCTAGATTCCTGATGATGCTTGGTATCCCTTGGCTGGTAGCTGTATCACTCTAGTCTCTGCCTTTGTCATTATATGAATGTCTCCTGTAGATTCTGTATGTGTCTTCTACTTTTTCTTTTTTAAATGGTGCTTGTCTTGGCTACTTTTCTCTCATTGCTGAGACAAAATACCTGACACCCAGAATTAAGGAAGGAAAGGTTTATTTAGCTCATGGTCTGTGGAGGTTTCAGTCCATACTCAGCTGGCTCCAAGGCAGAGTGGCACATGGCAGAGGGTAACTGTTCATAGTGGTGGAAGGTGGCAAAAGCAACAAGAGCAAAAAGGAGGAGCAGTGGCATGTAGTCTCTTTCCCTCCCTTACATTGTATGCAAACTACCCGACCCAGGGTGGGTGTAGCACTCACATCCATAATTCCAACGTTGGGCCATGAATCAATCATTAACTCTAAAAGCCCACCCCATGACTGTGTGGCTTTGGGGGGCCACCCAGACACAAATCGTAACATTGATGATGCTTGGTATCGCTTGGCTGGTAGCTATATCACTCTAGTCTTTGCCTTTGTCATTATATGAATGTCTCCCCTAGATTCTGTTGTGCTTTCTACTTTTCCTTTTCTTTTATAAATGGTGTCTGGGGCCTCATGCATGGTTAGCAGTTGCTCTACCCCTGAACTATACCTTCAATTCCTCCTCTCCTTAGGTGGATGCACACCAATCACTGGATTTAAGTCCTGCAAGACATAGATATGGTTTAAGTGTGTTCCCCAAAACTTCATGATCCAGAAGCTTAGACCAAAATGTGTCAGTGTCAAATTGGTGGAACCAAAAGAGGTGGAGCCGAGTACAAAGTCATTAAGTCTTTGGGGCATTGTCCTCAGAAGGAATTAATATTGGTCTCATGGGATGAGTCAGTTCTCCAAAGAGGGAATTGTTATGAAAAGAGCAAACTGCTCCCCGAATCTCTCCCTGTTGTACACTGCCACTGTGATGTGACACAACCACATGGCTTTCACCAGAGACCAAACAGAGAGGGCCTCTTGATCCTGGAATTTCAGCCTCCAAAAGTGTGAACTAAATAAACTTCTCTTTATAAAGAACCCAGTTTCAGGTTTTTATTATAGGAATGAAAAACAGAAAAATACAGAGTTCATTGTACTCCAGTATGACTTTGTCTTAACTAATTGTACCTGTAAAAGCCTATGTCCAAATAAGACTTGTGCAGAGGTGAATATGTGGAGGACCCTCTTCACCCCACTATGGGAATGGTGGGTACAGGGGTGTGGGGCCTAATTGTCTGAAGTCTGCTGCTTCTAACACTTTTCATAAGGCCAGTAATACCTGGAAGAGGATTTTAAGGTGATACTGGGAGCACAAGGTCTTTACAGATGGTGTCAGGTGGAATGCTGCTCTGGGTATCGTGGGCCTAGATGGGAAAAGCCTTTCAATGAAAGAGATCTAAGTTCATGTTTGAACTTGGAAAAGGCACTGAAAAGCCCAGAAAAAGTGAGCCTTCTTACCCTCTTTCTTTAGCCTTTTTTTGTTTTAAAGAGAATAAAACATTTTAAAAAACATTAAAAATGATACAGAATTTCTAAACAAGATGATAGGAGATCAACAATGGTTTCTATATTTCATATTGTTATCTTCAAAGTAGTTGTTCAGATTGCCAGATATAGGTGTGCAAGATTAATAAAAAAAATTAACCACTAACTGTTCCTTTCAGTGAACTAACAGAAATTAGTAGTACAATTATCTTAGCTATCTTGTGTATATATATATATATTTTTTTTCCCTTCCTTCTTTCTTTTCTCCTTTCCCTCATCCTAGTTGTTCTTTACTTTTGAGAAGTTTCTTTCCCTTTCATAGTATCTATTGTACCTTTTGGATTTTATTTACTCTTTCAGTTACACTAGGGAGACAATATGATGTTTACACATGTGGGTCTGATTTATTTCACTTATGAGTATGGTCTCCAGTTGCATCCCTTTATCTATAAAAGCCTCAACTTTATCTTTTTTATAGCTGAGTAATACTCCATGGTATAAAAATAAAGATACTATATCTTTTCCACCCATTCCTTAGCTAATGGGCATTTGGGTTCTTTCGAAGATTTAGCTATAACAAATTGTGCTGCTATAAACATGAGTGCACATATATTGCTGTGGTATGATGTTTCCAGTTCTTCTGGAAAAATACCCAAAAGGAGAATAGCTGGGTCAAATGGGACCTCTAATCCTAATTTTCTGAGGAATCTTCACACTGATTTCCACAGTAGTAGTACCAGTCTACCCTCTCACCAACAATGGAAAAGGGTTCCTTTTTCCCCACAGCCCCTCCAGCATTTGCTATTGGTTGATTTTTGATGATAGCCATTCTTTCTGGGGTGGAATCTCAGTGTTGTTTTAATTTGCATTTCTCAAATGATCAATGATGTTGAGCATTTTTTCATATATTTATTTGCTAATTTTATTTCTTCATATGAAAAGTGTGTATTCATCTCAGATACCCATTTTTGGTTTGGGTCTTTGAATTTGGGGGCTTGATTATTTTAAATTCTTTATGTGTTTAAATAGAAGTCCTTTGTCTGATGGGTAGTTGATTAAATTTTTTCCCAATTTGTGAATTTTCTTTTCACCCTGTCGGTGATGTGTTTTGCAGGACAAAAGTTTTTTTTTTTTAACAGGATGAGATCCCAGTTGTTGATTCTTTGACGTATTTCTTGTGCAGTTTGTTTTTTGTTCATGAACTCTCTGCCTACCCCTATGTCTTCAAGATTTCTACCTATTTTCTCTTCCAGTAGATTTAGTGTTTCTGTTTTGATATTTAGATCTTTAATCCATTTTGACTTTAGTGCATGGTGATAGACATGAGTCTGGTTTTAATCCTCAGCATATAGACAGCCAGTTTTTCCAGCACCATTTATTAAAGAGGTTATCTTTCTTCCAGTGAATATGTTTGGCCCCTTTGTTAAAGATAAGGTGGCTGAGTGTGTTTGTGGTTGTGTCTGCATCTTCTAATCTGTTCCATCAATCCTCAGGTCTGTTTCTTTGCCAGTACCATGCTGATTTTATTACAGTAGCTTTGTAATAAATATAATTTCAAGTCATGGATTGCGATGCCTCTTGCCTTTCCTTTGTTGCCCAGGATTGCTTTTGCTATTCTAGGTTCTTCTAGTTCCAGATGAATTTTAGGAATGCTTCCTCTAGATCTCCTCACCCTCTTTTTTATGTTGTTGATATATAGCTGTGACTCAAAGGGAGAATATACTGCTGGCCAGGAAATATGCTTATGTTTAGTTCAAATCAGATTAACAATATCTGCCAGAAGTGGTAAGGAGTATGGAGTCCATGACAGTTATCATGCTGTGGCATCCTATGTCTGTCTGGGGTGACTACATGGGCTCGTTACCTGGGGCAGGAATGGATGGTAAAGGACCTTCGCAAGTGGTGGGGAAGGAATCATCCTGGGAAGAATATTTCAGTGATCCATACTCATTCAGTAAACATTTACTGAAGGTCCACTATGTTCTAGGCACTGTATTAAATTACACACACCTACTTCAGTATAGCTCAGATATAGTAGATAGCATGATATCTCGTGTTTACTCCAAGAAATGTGAGTTAGCTCACATAACAGCATGGTGTCAAACCCTGAAATAAATAAATCATGAGTTGTTGATATAAAATAACTAAGCATTGTATGTGGAGTTAAAGAGAACATGTTAAGCTTTGTAGCAGGCTCAGAGAGCCAGACAAAATCAACATGAGGTGCAGGAAAGATATTATTCAAATCTACTCATCTAAGGTGATTCCTTAGCTAGAGTCACATGAGTTGTTATGGAAAGATCAACAAAAAAGCAACATTAAACTTTATATTAGATATTCATGAAGAAGTATAGTTTTTTAGATTTAACTAAGAAATAGTTGATGAAAGGATGAAAGTTGAAATGGCTTCCACTAAAATATTTTTTACATAAATATTTCACTATACATATTCCTTGTTTAATGACCTACCTGTTTCATGACTATTGGAGATAATGAAAGCAGCACACTTATGACCTGTGACTTGGACTTATGAGCTTCATCCGGGAACATGAGCAACAGTGTGGCCTTATGGCGGCTTTGTCTATGGTACAGTACTGTAATTATTGCTGATTGTACTGTATAGTACAGTACTATAGTTTTATGTTATTTTATTCATTACAGTACTGCATGTAAGCTATGCAAATAAAAGCAAAGTTATCAAATTGGAGTTTTCTTTGATCATTTCTTTATTCTGAATATTGTAATGTACATATTATATATAACTCATTTAGTAATCAATTCAGTGAATGATCTAGTAGTGGGAACACAATTCGGTCATTAAATGCAGAATGCCTGTAGTTGTGCTTCACAACTAGTTGCTGGCTTTCATCTCCAAAGCATATTCTTTGATAGAAGATCATGGAAGCTCACAGAGGCCAGAGGGCTCCTGTCTCTTCATACACACTGGAGAAATCCATTCACAGAGCCACATTTTTGGGGTGTCCCTAGGTGCCAAGTACTAGTTGATTGAGGAATCATGATGTTTTTGGAGCCACAAGAGATTGCAAAGAGCATTTAAATCTTTTTCTTTATGTTTCACAGGAGTAAATTGTCCCAAGTATTGAAAGGTCTGGCTTACGACAATTGCTGGTTGTGGGAACTCGTTTCAGAGCCAGGTCAGATGCACTTTGGACAAGATCCTACCATCTCTGTGCTGACGATTGGGTGCATTCTGGGATGGCATAACCTGGTCACTTGCACCTTTGGCAGGGTGTTTTGCTTTTGCTTGGGATTGTGCTGGTATATAGTAGTTAATCTGGAAGCAAAGAGAACAATGAAAAGAGGTAAGAATCCATTGTATAGTAGGGGGAGCATTTCCAGGAACTTGAAGGCAATGCAGAGCACTTCATTTATACTAATCTCTTTCTTAGGCTGTGTTAACAACCAAAATAATAATCGTGCTGAGGTTGGAGCTGAATGGTAGAACACCCAGCATGCACGAAGGTCCTGGGTCCAGTCCTTAGTAGTGGAAAAAAATTCCAAAGTTTTAACTTCTAAAAAAACACGTAGTTAAACCTCTAAATTCTTAGGGAGTGAGACTGGAAGAAAATTGGATTTTCTTGTTAAGTACCCCAGTTAAACTTCAAAGCTGACAGTTAAGCATGCATCAAATAATTTATTTTTTTCATTAATGAGAATAGTGAATAAATAAATATTTATTTGATAAATGTACCTCTTACATCTTTGAGGTGGTCATTCTAACAAGATTACAGAACAATCTAAAAATGTTAAGTTTAATGTATACTGAGATATCACCTGTGATTATTGCTTTAAAAATGTCTGTTATTAGTCTCTGTGTTAGCTTATTTTGCTATTATTTCAAACAACTCCCTTTATCTAATACATCTCCCCAAAACATAACACAACAAATAAACGAGTTTGTGATATACTTGTAGAAGTCAAATCCAAATAGTAAAAACCAAGTAAGCAAAATAACTGAGTGACAAATATATTTGAACCCCAGTGGATCTAGTTTAAGTCACATTTAGCATGGTAAACCTCTAGCATAGCACAACAAGGTGAGTAGTTCTGAGAATTTTGGCTAGGTGGGACCATTGGCATCTATGAATGCTAAGAAATAGGAATGCAGACTCTCTTAAGTATTTCCCAACCTAAAATCCCATGATTCAGTATTTTTAAAAACCATAGCTTTTCTATAAGATGAAACTTACTTTTATGAAAGGAATATTTATGTTTTATAAATTTACTTTTATGAAAGGAATAATTGGAAATAAACTTAATTAAATTCCAGCAGCTAATTGAATTCTGTCCACTTCTTTGCAGTGCAATACAACCATATATGGAATGATTTGAAGTCTTTCTTCCCAAAATGTACATGCATATACCCTTAAGGCAAAGTAACACAACTTTTCATAAAACCCATATTGCTTCTTATTATGACAGCTCTAAAGGCCTAGAAGTTATAAAATGCATTTCTTATACAATTTTAAAGCCAAGCTAGGAAATTGGATTTTCTTTTCATATAAGAATGGAAGGTTTCTCCCTAAAATCATTATTCTAAGTTTTCTAAAAGAATCAGGTCTATTTTAATATGAAACAGACTCCAGAGTTAACTTTTTTCTTATCTATATATTTGCTTGATATTAGGGTTAGTAATTTGGCATCAGTTTTTCATTCACAAGAATTCCAGGTATCTCCTGAATAAAGAAAACACAGCTGAGAAAACTGAGGGCTTTCGCTAACTCAAGGCTGCAATGTCTACTGCAGGCAGGTCCTCCTACCCCAAAGTCATTACTCATGACAAATCTTTGGGACACGTTTTTCACAGTGTGCTGTGAAGACACCTAAATAAGGATCTTCTTGGGGAGAGGTATTCGTTAAAACTCAAACTTCTGGGCCCTGTACCCAGCCTTATTGAATCAGATCTTGGGGAGATGGGCTCCAGGAATATGCATTTTAGACACATTGTGTAGTTGATTTCTTATTTCTCATTAAGGTGTTGGAACTGTGTACAGAAGGACATTGACTCATAGGTGTGTGATCACCATAAGAACCCATCAGGTGAATTGTACTCCAAAATCCCTTCACTGCCTTCTACTTCACATGATAGTTTAGAGAGAAAGGCCCCACAAAGGTCTGCTGAAAAAGTCATCATTTATTCATTAAAACAATCCCAAGTCTAGCCCGACATGACAACTTTCCTATCCTGGTTATGGTCCTTTCTAGTGATAGAGTGATGAGGTCATGGGTTGCATTCAACAGACCAGAGATATGCTCGTCCACAAATGGCCTTGTCAAGGACATACTGCCATTCTAGCAGCGCTGCCAACATGAGATATGGGGGGTGACCCCAAGGGAACTGCTGTGTGCTAATTCTATCCCAATCCTTCAAGCACAGGATCCATGAGTCAGACAGCAAATCTGAAAAAATGATTTAGAATAATTTTAGGAAGAGGAGAGATGGGCCACTTTTAGAACTTCAATATTGAAACATGAAAAAGGAGGAGAGAGGGGGTGATATGAATTTTCCATTTCCATTTTCTGAAACGAACCACAATTCACTCTTGATAAATCAGCTTGGAAGAAAGCTCAGGTGATGGTCCTTTGGTTGCCATGGTGATTACTCAGCTGTGTGCAGCTGCCTAATGCATCGCTAATTTCCCTACAGAATCATGCACAAGGTCATGAGAGGACACTGAATGCTTATCCTAGTCCTCAAGGTAGGGAGGAGTTGGCTTCTGCCTGACACAGGGCCAATATTTCTTTAAAATTCATCTCACTCTTGAAAATATTAGAGATTTTTTTAACACAAAATAAAATGAAGTAAGTTAGATCCCTGGCATGCTGGAGATATAATTCTATGCATATAAAACTTAATCAGGATTTCTACCTTTGTTCCAACGGGACAGGGGAAATACAATCAGTATTTAGAGATCACTCTACTTGCTAAGGGTTTGGGAAGATTGGGCATATTGGTTTGGTTACATACTGACAAGCATGCAGGAAGACACAACCTAGGCAGGTTGTCCCTGAGCCCTTTCTCCTTTCTGCCCAGGGGGCCATTTGGGTCCTGAATCTCTGTGCTTTTCCTCTTTTTCTTGGTGTGTGCACCATTTTGGTCCTCTGTGCAAAGAAATACCCTTGTGTGCCTCCTCAGGGGTCCTGGGGGTCTGGCCATGGAGCATGAATCTCTCCAGAACTCACCAAACTCTCTGCCCTCATTGTTTTCCTTCAGTCCTCTCAAATATTTTTCTAGTGGGTAGGTAGAGAGGAAATCCTCTCTCTTTGAAGTTTCTCTCTTTCTGTTGTCTGGAGGCTTAGAGTTGTGGGAATTCAGGAAGATTTTCTCTATTTCTATCCTCCTGTGTTTCTTCCCTGAGACTGTCCATTCACTTATTCAACAAACATATGAGCAACCTACTCAATACTAAGTCTAGGCCAAGGGGATACAATAATAGGCAACATATGCAGAAATCCTTGCAATTGTATGGCTTATATTGCAGCAGAGGAGATAGGCAACCATTGATAAATATGGATATATGCTAGAATACATGCCAGGAGAAAATGGCTTGAGGAGGAGTGAATTGCAATTTTGAATAGACAGGCTTGGACAAGCATAATGGAGTGGGTGTCTGAAAGCAGGTTGCAGGTGAGCTAAGAGGGCACATGAGGAAGTGTTCCAAGCTCTAAGACAGGAGCATACTTGGTATTGTCCAAGGGGCAGAGTAGATCAGGATGATGGAGGTGAGCAAGGGAAAGAGAAACAAAGTGAGATTGGAGAGGAGTGTATGTGTGTGTGTGTGTGTGTGTGTGTGTGTGTAAGAGGGGGAAAGAGACAGAGAGAGACACAAAGAGATGGGGAGAATATGTGTGTACATGTGTGTGTGAGTGCAAACGTGTATGAGGGTGAATGGGGTACTGACAGATCAGCGAGGTCTTATACCCATTTCTGGATTGAGGTGGGAACCATTGGAGAATTTCTGTTAAGAACATGATCTGACCCAGGCTTTAAAAGGATCACTCTGCCATGGTGAGGGTGGGCCAGAAAGAAGAATCAAAATAAAGAGTTATCAAAAATAAAATCAGAGAGAAGTAAAAGATCTATACAGTGAAAATTATAGTACTCTGAAAAAAGAAATCAAAGAGGATATCAGAAAATGGAAAGATACTCCTTGCTCATGGAGAGGAAGAATCAACATTGTGAAAATGGCCAT